GCTGGGTTCACACCTGGGCGTTCCAAATAGACGCGTTTTATGCTAGTTTTTTAAGCACTTTTTTTGTTCACTGAAACCCGCATTCGACGTTCGTTTTTTAATCTCCCTAGCGGTATGATTTCTTTTCTCTATATTTATTTCGGTTTTTGAAAAACTTTTTAAACTTCCTGCCGGTTCCGCCCACCTGTCCCTTGCGAAGGACGCTCGCAAGGGACGGAAACGGGAAGACCGCAGCGGCCAGAGGACACAGCGGGGATCGCGGAAATGGTAAGACCTATGCTGTATTCCCGGGTGTGGATCGGGGTTACCGCTTTGTTAACCCCGAGCCACACACTCGGGAATACCAATGGATAAGCGCTGAAATACGCCCCAAAAAAGCTGCTGTACTATTTCAAGCGTAGGGCGTGTTTCGCCCAGGTGGGAACCATGCCCATAGGGATTCCTAGGATTTCACTGCTTGATCGTTTTTCAGCGCTTCGATCAGCGCTGAAAAACGCCCAGGTGTGAACCCAGCCTTAGTCCTTTTTTGGGGGGGGGGGGGGGATGTGTGTGTGTGTAGGAAGTGTTTTTGTTTTGCTTTTTAATTTATTTTGTATTATTATTTTTTTTAGTGTTGGGGGGGCTCCTGGGAAATATTAGGGGTCTAAACAGATCCCTTTTGAAATAGAAAAAGAGATTGAGGACACTGAGTCCTCTGCCTATACAGGTGGGGGAGAGCAGCGGGGATCAGAGGAGAAGCTGGAGCCTGTGCCGCTCCTCTTCTCCCTCCTGAGCCGTGGCTGTGACGACCGTCTGGCGCCCCTGTTGCCAATGGCGCCTTGTGCTCGCCATGGCAACAGGGCAAGGGGGCGCAGCCAGACCGGCAGTGGCTGCGCCCCCCCTCAGCTGCGCCTGAGGAAAGTGCCTCACTCGCCCCATGGTAGCTACAGCCCGGTCACCAGGGATGTGCTGGGTCACCAGGGATGTACGGGGTCACTAGGGATGTGCGATGTCACCAAGGTTTTTTGGACTCACCAGGAATCTGTGGACTCACCAGGGATGAGCAGGGTCATCAGAGATGTACAGGTTCACCAGGGATGTTCGGGGTCACCAGTAATCTGTGGACTCACAAGGAATGTGCGGGGTCAGCAGGGATCTATGGGGTCACCAGGGATCTGTGGACTCACCAGGGATGTGTGGGGTCACCAGGTACTTGTACAGGGTCACCAGGAATGTTCGGGGTCATCAGGGATCTGCGGACTCACCAGGGATCTACGGGGTCACCAGGGATCTGTGGACTCCCCAGGGATGTGCAGGGTCACCAGGGATGTGCGAGGTCACCAGGGGTCTATGAACTCACCAAGGCTATGCACAGCGTGTCACCAGGACTGTACGTGGCATATTGGTGCATCCCTTATTGAAGATCCTTGTCTGGGGGACTGATGTGAATTGTAGTTTCCACCTTATATTTGGATTGCTTTTGTATATTTACCATTCCCCTGTTTTTGTGGCACATTTGATTGTGTTTAATAAGTACCATGTGGATTAGTTTGAATGATTTAGTTAACCTAAGAGGTATATCAGTTTCACAGCACGGTGTGAATCACATTATTTACAAATTGTCCAGGGGACAGTGCAGAGTGACCTGGAGATTTTTTTAAATTTATGACTACAGTTGGACATTTGTTGTAAGCAATTACTAAAGAAAACAGTTTTATTTTGTCTCCAGCAATCTCTCAGAATATTCCTCCAACTGTAGTCACAGGTAATGAAAAAAAAAGAAATCCAGGTCACTTTGCACTGCCCAGGAGGTGTTACCACTATGAATATTAGTAAAGCTCATGCAAAGCATTATCGGAAAAGGAGTTTTTCTACGCCCTAAACTGTAGTTTCCACTGTGCACAACAACCTGGTGGTCATTTCAAAAAAGCCACGTGAACACTGAGAGGACAACTAAAAAAAGTACGTTTTTGTGTTTATATACAGCATCTACATATGCCGGCATCATGTACACAAGGTGTATTGCTAGCATAAGTTTTTCTTAAAATGCCTCTGCAAAGGTGGAAATGGACTTTAAATCATAAGTATGTTTGTTAAAACTTAAGACTAACAGGGTTATTCACTAAAGGGTGAAGAGTTTGGAGAAGGCCGGAGAAGTGAACAATCTAGGACAACATAGCTGAACTGGAAAGTGAGGTGAACTTGAGAATGTTTCCAAATCAGCTACGTTGTCCTAGATTGTTCACTTCTCCTCCATTCTCCAAACTCTTCACCCTTTTGTGAATAACCCGGTAAATATTCTCTTTGTTTGACTAATACAGTAGTACAGTATGTACTTATTCTAGAAGCTTAGAGGTTCTCACAATAGCAAGTCAAGCAACAATGACAATCTTACACATACAATTTTATTACTTACGAGGTTCTGCCATTTTTCCAGCTGATGTGCTGTATAGCATTTGCCTGCGACCAATATTCCTTACTGCCATATGTATACATCATATTTTTTTAACCAGCAACTTACAATATACATTACTTTGTGTGAATACCAACATTGTAAAAAAAAAAAATCAGATTTTGCTGTAATTCAAGTTTGGTTCCACCCCTTCTTGCCTGCCCCGTGTACTTTTAGTAATAAACATACTTATTTTTCAGTAGGGCGATGTTGACCACGCTCAGCTTTACAGAAACGTGTACCTAAATTCAGCTGTCTACATCTCTGCATCTCCTGATTGATTTGACATGCCATCAAATGCTCAGTCTAAATTGCCCACATCTATGACATTCATGGCAAGTAAATTTGATCAAAAAGCTAAGCTTTATAAACAACTAAACCATCATTGTTTACTTCTACAAACTATTTCATTCCAGGGGACCTTTTATGTATGATTTTTGTTTTGTTTTGAAAATGCTTGTACTTTAATATTTGATAGTAAGCCTTTATCTTGGCTTATAGTATATTATTTAGAGCAAGATTTAGGAGATACAGTATACCTTCTTCATCAGGCCAGAGAAGCACTATGCTAGAAATGTATATCTGCATATTGTAGTGCTGCTCATATTGGACTGCAACAGCTTGAGCCTTTTTTACATGTGAGGAGAGATAAAGCTTATCCCTCTGAAATGTAGACAATAGCTTTCATCTCTGTCTAAATCAAAGGTACTCAACCATCTTTCCAGCTGGTGCGACTAGTTTATGAGTCTATCACCTCACTCCAAAATACCTAATACTCTGGAGATCCATACAATTGTCTGCAGCCCACATTTCATTTAGCAAGCTTCAGGTTGGCCACCTTTGATCTGAATTTGAATTATGCAAAAGCAATGGCATTTTGATTTGTTAAAGTATAAAACATTGTATCAGACGTGTAATAACCTTGACTATTAAAAGGGAGATATAGGAGGCTGTAGCTAACTACCACAACGTTATGTTAGCACAGATGAACTGCACACTAAAATCCAATATTTCGGTTAATAATATGCTCTTTTAAATCTTTCCTAAAGAATGGCTATAGGAAATTCAAGATTGCTGTTTATTCTGGCTTCAGTAAAGTGGCAAAGTGCCCCTGGTATGTGACTAGACACTGATACCATGTCTATTTTTAATACATCTATCAATTAAACATGTCCTAACTTATCTCCTTTAGCTGTAGTGTGAGGGCCTACCTGATTGATTTTTTATGTATAAGTCGTTCAATGGTGATGGCAGCATCAGCAATAAGCTTTATACTATAAACTCCTTAAAAAAGACTAGAGGCCACCACCTACAATTGGTGGAGAAACAAATGTAAGCACAGAGGGCGTAGGGGCTTCTTCTCAGTTAGAGCGGTTAGGGTCTGGAACTAGCTGCCACAAGCAGTGGTATCAGCTGAGAGTGTAGAATCATTCAAAAAGCATTTGGACAATTTCCTCAGAGACCGTAACATACAGGGGTACAGGTACCCTTAAAAACAAGACCACAGGGACTCATACACACGCATACACATGCAGAATCACATACATACACGCTATTGGTTGAACTTGATGAACCTGTGTCTTTATTCAACCTCAAATACTATGTAACTATTTAACTGATTGGATATAGATTTAATTGATTGTTTAGGCAAACGCTTACAATACACAGTTGTTGGTAAATGTAAAGGAGGACACAGCTTGTGAAATTATATGGCTAGCTTATGGCACATCAAGTCAAAACTATATTTTGGACACAGTGGGGAACATCTCTTCAATTGGGCCATGGAGAGCAATAACAATTTGCCAGAAGCATTTTTTTTAACGTTTATCAAAAACTAAAAAAACATTTTGGCTGGGTTTGGGCTTTAAAGGAAAAAAAACCCCCAACATTTTCAGAGTTTTTATTTCTACTTAGGAATACAGAATAATGTATTCTGCAAATAGTGTATACTGTGTTGTACTATAAGAGAAGCTCTATGTAAATGTGTCACTGCAATTGTACACATAGTACTTAAAATGGCAGATTAGAAGATTTGTAAAATACCAACTTAAACTCTAACATTGAGGGTAGTAATGATGGTTATTAAAACGTGAAAGCTCCCCATCCACCCATTTATTTTTGTGAAAATAATGTAATCTGTAATATTTATATTTGTAACTGAAATATAATTTATATACATTAGTTTGGCTTGTAGAGATGTATTTTTTATCCTTTTGGTTTCATCATTTTAGATCAGTGTGCTTTGGCAAACATTCTGATGATGGAGTTATACATTCTGTTGCTTAGTTTCTCTTAACATAAAAGGGACTTTGCAACCTATACATGAACTCAAAACTGCAATAATATTAGTAACTTGAATGGTTGAAGATATAGAATCAGTTTGGAAATACAACAAGAAAGACTATCCTTGCCAGCTCATCCATGTCATCCTCTACACTTCTGATAAAAATACCTTAAGACAATAAAACAGTTTAAGTTACTGGAATTAATTTTGTTTGAAACATTTACTTGTGTATTGTTCCTTCTAATTACTATTTGTTTTTTTACTGCTACTTAAAGAATAACATACCTTGTTCATATCAAAGGTGGAAAATACTTGCTCAATGTATTTGTTTGCTTCAGGGTTCATTCCATGCAGACCAAGTAATCCTTTAAACTCATGCAAGCTCAGCTGTCCAGATGGACACTCTCTCATGAATTTTCTGTACCAGTGATGTATCTCCAGAGCATTAATATCATCTGCAGTTGATGCAGTGGATGCAGCTGTACCCATATTGGTTATGTTATTAGCTTTTGTTTTTTGAATTCCATTCCATGCGATAGACTCATCCACTTGTCCCCAGAGTTTCCCAAAACACTGCACATATTACAGTAAAGATCTTTTTTAAACCTCTTAAAGCTCGTTACAGAGAAAGACTACAAGTGTAAAAATAGAAGCCTGGACAGATTAGGGGTTTTGTCAAATGACTGGCTACTAACAAGTATTAACAATTGTAACAGTGTTTTACCTTTAATGTTTTGAGAGAGGATACTTTTACAAATTCCATGTGGCAATTAGCTGGTCAGGTTTGCATTGTTAAACCAAATTATTTAGCAAGAATTCAGAGCTGGACTAGATTTCTTGCTTTAATATTGAAGGGCCATCAGTCCCTGATTATTATTGGTTATTATATGGAGATTATTTCCATATAAAAGATTTTGACATCTATTCTTTTTCTAAGGCTGATTTATGTGTCTGCTTTATCTCTTTTTTTATTAATTAGTGATTTTTCATGTCATCGTTAGTAGTACTGAATAGTAGCATCGGTAGTATCTGATTTCTGCTAGATCACCTTAGAACTTTACTTTGGCAATATTAAAGTGACACTAAACTCAGGAGTTAAATCTGAAGAAGGCATTCAAATAGCTTAACTATTAATAATACTGTACCTTATTTGTGTATCATTCGGCTGTAGATCCTCAAATCATCTCTGAATTCATGCTGACACTGTCCTTCCTTCTGGAGGGTGACTACTTTTTTCCCCATATCCCCTGTGTGTGTTGTAAAGTAGCCAACACTCCAAACTCTCTCCTGTGATAGAGTCCAATCTTAATACAAATTGGTAAGCTAAACATGAGATTGTAGTCTATTACGGGAGCGAGCTTGGAGCAGTGGCTATTTTACAACACACACAGGGACCATGGGGTGACACAAAACTCAGGAGGTAAATCTTAAAAATACATTTAAGTACCTTAACTATTAACAAAAGTGTACACAGGGACTATGGGGGACAAAAGTAGCCCCCCTCCAGAAGGAAGGGCAGTGTCAGAACCAATTCAGAGATGTTTTGATGATCTACAGCCAAGTGATGCACAAATAATCTAAATTTTTTTAATAGTTAAAGTGACACTAAATTAAGGAGTTAAACCTTAAAAATGCAATCAAGTACCTTAACCATTGACAAAAATGTATCTTATTTGTGTATGACTCGGCTGTAGATTCTCAAATCATCTCTGAATTGGTGCTGACACTGTCCTTCCTTCTGGAGGGTGGCTACTTTTATTCCCTATGGTTCTTGTGTGTGTTGTAAAGTAGCCAGCACTCCAAGCACACTCTAGGAATGGACTATAATCTCATGTTTAGTTTACTAATTTGTATTGAAATTGTAGTCCATCATGGGAGCGAGCTTGGAGTGGTAGCTACTTTACAACACAGACAGGGAACATGGGGAACAAAAGTAGCCAACCTCCAGAAAAAAGGGCAGTGTCAGCACCAATTTAGAGATGATTTATGGATGTACATCTGAATGATACACAAATAAGGTTCAGTATTATTAATAGTTAAGGTGCTTGAATGCATTTTTAAGGTTTAACTCCTGAGTTTAGTGTCACTGTAAATGATGTATCCAGAACAAAAAAAGGTTGACAAGGGAGTAAAATATTTGTTATTGGAAGTACTCTTTTGATTGCAACTCTTCTTTTAAGCTCACGGTTGTTACAGGATTTTTTTAAACAACAAATTAATGTATGAATATTTTTAGGTGCACCCAAAATATGTGGTGGCTGACTAAAGCCAATCAATAAGTAACAGAAATAAGCAATTTAATTCATCAGGATCAACATTCAACCTGGATCATGACAATTTACTCAAGATGCACTAAGTTTTGCCATTGACATGATGGCTTGCACAAAAGGTTCTGTAACTTTTAAACTCATGCTGCCTCGCAGTTTTCCCAGGCTCCCCTGTATTTGTTCTATTCTGTTCTACAACCAACCACCATGAGTTTTGCCATAAAATACAATCCCCACATTTCAGCAGCTAAATAGACCCCTGAGCTGCACAAAGCCTTCTCATTTAGAGAAACTTCAAGCTTGTATTTGTATCCTAAGGGCTTACCATATAAGCACTGTTGTTAAAATATTTCCACAAAATGTTTTAACCACTTTTCCTCATCCCCGCCCTCAGTCAGCCAATTGGTGTAGCTCTGGCCAGAGCTACAGGCAGGGTGAAGCAATTGCATTTGATATACCTTCAGCTGTTGTTTATTGCCAAGTGGGCTTGAGCAATGAGTAGGGTGTGCATGAGAAGGTGCAGGGGCTGACTGGCAACTTTTAGCCCAGGGGGGCAAGTACAAACCTGAGGCCCATGGTGCGGCAACTTGGCCCCCCTCCCGCTCTGCCTCTTCCCTGCATTCTCCCCGCCCCTGTGTGACACTTTGCCATCCATGTAACAGTAGTGTGAATGTATTTATCGGTTTAGGAAATGTAAAGCACACTGGTAGTGGAGGGATGCCACGTCAGGGCTGTGCGCGTGCATGACTGCTGTGACCCTGGTAGTTCTGCCACTAACTAAAAAATACATTGTACAGCATTGCAGAATGGCATTGGCTATAGAGAACTACAATTCCAAGCAATACATTACACAACAATGCAAAATACCATCAGCTATAGAGGACTATAAATCCCAGCAATAATGACTACCAACAGCTATAGAGAACTACAATTCCCAGCAATACCATTATACAGCAATGCAGAACAGCATTAGCTATAGAGGACTACAAATCCCAGCAATACATTACACAGCGCAATGCAGAATAATATGAAGCTACATACTCTGTTGCTCTGGGTTCTCCGCCTGATGTCTAAAGGGTCTCAGGTGGGCTGTGCGGGCTCTCACCAGGGGTCCAGAGAGTTTCACGGGTGCGTGTGTGTGCAGCAGAGGTGGTTCCCTAATTAGGCTCTCAGGTGGCCAATGCGGACCGCCAGGTGGTCAGTGCGGGCTCTCTGCTCCAAAACAAAAGGCTCCAGTGATGGACTACTAGTTTGTATTGAGATTGTAGTCCATCACAGGAGCAAGCTTGGAGCGGTGGAAATAAGAAAAAAAAAGTGTGGTGTGCAATATAGTGAAATGGAAAGTGTAAAATTATACAGCAATCAATGCAAAATGGCACTGGCTATAGAGGACTACAAATCCCAGCAATAATACATTATACAGCACAATGCAGAATACCACCAGCTATAGAGGACTACAGATCCCAGCAATAGTACGTTATAGCTGATGGAATTCCGCATTGCGCTGTATAATGTATTATTGCTGGTGTTTACATACATAGTCCAACCCATATAGGTCCACGCATCATCTCATTCTTAGGGATACTTGTATCCCTGGATATTACGGTTCCTCAAGAAATTGTCCAAACGTTTCTTGAACAAATCTACACTCTTGGCTGAAATCACTGCCGATGGCAGTGAGTTCCAGACCTTAACTGCTCTTACTGTAAAGAACCCTCTTCGCCCACTGTGCTGGAATTTTTTTCTTGTTCCCGGGGGGCAATTGCCACCCTGGCCCCCGGCCCAGTCCGCCCCTGAGAAGGTGGCAGACTGGGTGCCAGAGATTGTACTGGAGGAAAGTAAGGGAGAAGCTCAACATCAGCAAGGCAAGATGTCATCCAGAGGCAGGGGCAGCCTGCAGAGGAGAAAGGGGAGCAGTTGCTTCCAGCAAATGGAAGTCCTATTCCCTGGACTGCTTTACAGTTCAGGAATCTGTTTCCTTTATAACATATCTGCTGCCCACAGCACTGTAGTGGTTTGCAGCCGTGGTAAATGTGCCAGTTATTCGGGTACCGCATGCATGAGGGAGATACAGTCATGGCACAGAATATTGGCACCCCTGCATTTCTGTCAGATAATGCACCACTTCGCACAGAAAATTGTTGCAATTACAAATCTATTCTCATGTTTATTTCTTTTGTTTGTATTGGTATGACACAAAAAGGAGAAAAAAAAGCCAAATCTGACACATTCCACGCAAAACTTCAAAAATTAACTGGACAAAATTATTGGCACCCTCAATTAATATTTCGTAGCAAAGCCATTGGAAAAAATAACTGAAATCAATCGCTTCCTGTAACCATCAATTAATTTCTTACAACCCTCTCCAGAGGAATTTTGGACCACTCTTCTTTCACCAACTGCTCCAAGTCTCTCAGATTGGAAGGGTTCCTTTTCCCAACTACTGTTTTGCGATCTCTCCACAGGTGCTCTATGGGATTCAGATCTGGACTCATTGCTGGCCAGTCCAGTACTCTCCAGTGCTTTGTCTGAAACCATTTCTGGATGCTTTTTGACGTGTGCTTTGGGTCATTGTCCTGCTGTAAGATCCATGACCTCTGACGGAGACCCAACTTTCTTACACTAGGCCCTACATTGCACCCAGAATTCTTTGATAGTCTTCAGATTTCATAATACCATGCACACAGTCAAGACATCCAGTGCCTGAAGCAGCAAAGCAACCCCAAAACCTCAGTGAACCTCCACCATGTTTGACTGTAGGGATTGTATTTTTTTCTTTAAAGGCCTCATTTCTTTTTATGAAAACAGTAGAATGGTGGGCTTTACCAAGATGCTGTAATTTTATTTCGTCTGTCCACAGCACATTCTGCCAAAAGGATTTAAGTTTTGGCAAACTCCAATTTGGCTTTTTTATGTTTCTGTGTCAGCAGTGGGCTCCTCCTGGGTCTCCTACCATAGTGTCCCTTCTCTTTCAGATGGCGACATATAGTGTGAGCTAGCAGGGAATCACCAGCACTCAATAATGAAAGCAAAATATGTCCTTTTAATTGACAAAAGCGTCATAGAATTCAAAAAAAGGTTCTTTTTTTGAATTCTATGACGCTTCTGTCCATTAAAAGGACATATTTTGCTTTCATTATTGAGTGCTGGTGATTCCCTGCTTGTTCTATCTCTGCACTGCGCCATCCGTGAACCAATATCACTGCGAGCACCATCTTCTCT